GGACTCATCAGACTACATGACCTTCTTCCATTGCTCCACAGTCCAATCTTTATGCTCCCTAGCAAACTGGAGCATAAAATCCTCCAAAAGTCAAAATTATCAGCCGATTACATCATATGGTTGTGACAAGGCCTGTTTGGATTGGAAGACTCCTCATTATGCGGCCAACAAATGCAGCCTTCTTTTTGCCCGTTTTGAAGGACAGGTCCTTTAGTTTCTCTTGGTTTAATTCTGTAAAAAATCTTCTTTAAGGAACCATTTGCTGTCTAAATATTAATCGATTAATGCAAAATAATTGACAGATTAATCGATTAGTAATATAATCATTGGTTGCAGCCCTACTCTTGGTAAATATAGCATGATTTAAATTAAGCGCCTTTGTGATTTGAAAACTATATTATACTGCAAATGCAATCTTCCATTAATCTTGAAAAAGTATTGAATGTAACTAGAAAATTTGTGGTACCTAAAAACACACATCTAAGAGCTTTGTAGGAGTCATTGGTAGTAATTTTTTTAAAACAGATAACTTCAAACCTTATGTTTAAACACTCAATATTAACACTCAATATTTTACAAAATCTAGATTTTTAAACAAGTATTCCATAATCATCCTGTCCATAAACCAAGATCTTTCATAAGTGGAATACTACATTGCCTATTTATACCCCAAAATTTTGCTTTGAAGATTTCTGGAAGAAATGTATTTAAATTGAACTTGACATCTGCACACCATGAAACCAAGACACAGTGTGACACACAAAATAAATGGAGAGAGAGAGAGAGAAAAGAGAGAGAGCACCAGATGGGGCTGATAGAAAGAAAGCGGTAAATGAGGAAGTGGGGAGCGGATGTTTGGGTTTTTTGAGCCCATTCATTTAAAAACACAGAGAAGAAAGAGAGAGAGATATAGACACCTGAGAAAAACCACAATCATGTTAAAAACTGAGCTCTCTCTGGCTTTCCCGAAACTAAAGGGCTCATTGACGTAAGAGCAGGCGTGAACACCATCACTCACATTTTGCATGCACGCAGTCACACACACTTGCATACATACAGTGTGAAAAAAAATAACAAGGGGATAAGACTGTCTCTTTCTGAAGAATTCAGGCAGAGTTTTATGCAACCACAAAGAGACACATACTGTAAGAGCTGCATGGTTACAATAGTACACAGGCTTGTCTGCAAACTGGAATTTAAGAAAGAAGCAATAATGAGCATATGAAAGATGTTTGAGTCCATCCAGCTGCTACATTTTGCAGGGGCTCGTCACAAGCAAGGAAAATGTATACTTACTTTTTATGCCAGATTAAGACCTGGATCTCTACATCATCCATCAAGGATGAATACATAAGCCACTCTACCATGGAGGGACTAATAAGCATGTAAAAGGTATAATATTGAAAAAATTAAATTTAACTGGTCTATAAGAAGTCCAGATAAACTGACTTATGCCTAAAATGTCACAACCAACAGCAAACGTGTCTGTAGGACAAAAGCATCAAGCTAGTTAAGATACTTGTGGCTATTTAAAATGTTGGTCATCACAAGTTTGTTTTGATTCGATGCAAGTGAAGGTGATCCTATTTGAAACTGCAACATCAAAGTGTAATTTAATTCTAGGACATGCTTCATTTTCAGTCACATGACTTTGCCTGAGAGTGCCCTCGTGCTCTAGTGTCAGTTTCTCATTTAACTTGATGTGTGGGAAGGTGCTGAACCTGCAAACAAAAGGCGGGTGGCCATGCGTTTATAGTTTAGCATTTGCATTCATGTGGTCTCGACACTGTGCCCTGAGGACAGTATCATTCCCAACCCCCTTACTCCCACACCCTAAGAGACTAGTCAGCTGGCTGTTAAAGAAAACTAAATGTAGTCGCTTCTCAGTCTGACAGCTCATAACCAAAACCCTTATGTTTTGAGATGTTGATAGTATTCTGTTACAACAGCTGGTGAATCAGTTATGATCAAGATGAAACTACTTTCCCTACTGGAAAGTTAGACAGCACTAAAACATTTGCCTGGATATGATTACTGTGTGGGGGCGGTACTGACTATACCTGCTAAATATGTAGAAACAGGAAATCACTGAGGTTGAAACAAATAAACTGAGATGATGCTCCAAACAGTCTAGGCTTACATTGTGCAATAATAAATTTTTACTTATGAGGTCAGGAGTTTTTCTGTTTTACCTCACAAGGGTAATTTCAATGCTAAGTTTTAAATCAAATGATCTGAAGAGATGTAGCATCTGGATTCCTAGGTAAAGTTATTTATGCAAAAAGCAAGTTCAACTTCATGCCAGTGCTAATCGACTGGCTTCTGGCTGGTATAGAGCAACGATATAGACTAAAACCTTATACTTTGGGTTTTAAAACAGGTCACAGTTTCCAAAATGTAGGCAGTTAGGACCTGGATAACATGGAGACACCTGGAAGCAAATTCCTGATCTTTTTGAGTAAGGCGAACCACAGCATTCCACTCAGAGCTCCAGTGCTTAACAAAGCTTTTTATACTGCAGTTTGTCACGGTATATTGAACTTTTAAGTCTCTTATTCAGGCCGAAGTAAGGACCAGAGCACATAATGGTTAATTGGAAGGAAAATGTATGGTTTTAGACATTTTAACTTGACTCGTGGGACATTTACATTACACGTGACATTATGTATTCACGCCTATATGTCTCTAATGAATAAAATCCAGTGAAACAAATAGTCTTTATTAGTTTCAATCAACCAAAAATTAATCTGAAAACCTACCAGTTCAAATCAGTTCACCCAAATTGACAACCCTGGCCAACATAACATTAATAATTATAGAGGCGACCAAGATACTTGTTTTAACACTGGAGAAGCAGAAGATGGTAGCTCGGGTGGTAGACCGTAAACAGGACTTGCTCCATGTTAAGCAAATTGCACCAGAATTCTTATCATGATTCAGATGGAAAAAATACATAACTAACAACAAATACAGACTCAAATGACCCAGAAGAGTGACAGGTTGGTTAATGATTTGCATCTGGCTTGCAACAACCAAGAAGAATTGGCCTTGGCTTAAAAGCATCCCACTTAATCTAGAGTGGCCTGTTTCAGAAAGCAGGTTTTACAAACTCAGACTGAAATCCTTAACTATGAATTGATCTAGACTAAAGTTTGAAACTCTGTTTTCGGTTTCACTACAGCTGCTGTGAGTAAGTTTAACAAACTCTAAGTAGGTTCACTCAGAGTTGAGCAAGTGCACAACAAATACAAAAAGTCATTGTCAGTGGAGCAAAGATTCAATGAGTCACCATGACAACAGGCACCACACCACTGGAACTAGATAAATGCAGAATTAGAAAAAAGTATTTGAGAATGTGTTTAAAAGAAAGAGCAAAAGCACTACAGCAGCAAAGAAGAGGGAGATGGCGAGAAGATTGTTGCTCCAGTAATGCGTACGTATAGCAGGCCATTTTAACATTTATTAAAAGCATTCTCCACTCTGTTCTTCCATTTCTAGATCACTAAAATATTATTCTTCCTGGTCAATATCACACTCCTAGTCTAAACTGTAATAAAAAAAATCCTAAATTACATGTTTGCCTGAAAGATAAGGATTTCAGAATGTCAAAAAAAATTAAACTTATAAGAAATAGATTTTACATACCTAGAAATGTTTACATATTTTAACTAGTCGTTATGACATTGATTAACTTGACTGAATAACTACTTATAATATCTGAAATACATTTCTTCTTAGTCAAAATATTAGATGTTATTGATTCAGATCAAAGTAAATTCATGTATTGGAATAACTCAAAAGCAGGACTCAATCAAAAGCAAAAAACACTTTGCTCTCAATTTTTCTGAAAGAGTTTTGGCTACTTCCACTTATAAAACAGCAGATCTACAACTGCAGGATCCTATGCTGCTTGCTGCCCGAGTTCTTCAAACCCAGTGGTCCAGGGACACTTCTGGATAGGTGTCCAAATATGTTGAGAAAAACTGAGCAAAAGGCTGCTGGCAAATATTAGAATGACCCACTCAGAATCCAGACGTAAATAAAATAATAAACACTACAGAGGCCTTTGCAGCGCTTTCGTTGCCTGGGCCTAATTAATGTTGAATTTGTTTTCAAACAGAAAATATGGTCCAGGGTGAAATAAACCAAACCAGATTGAGTTTGGGCAATTGTCAGAGAACAAATGAGCAAAATAAAAGACACAAAAAACAATATGAAGATGTGCAAACCTTCTGGAGTCAAACCTTCAAAAAGCTCTCCATCATTATTTGCTTGTAAACTCAATAGATTTTCTATCTGTTGTGTGTTTAAATAGTAATTTTACCAATTAACACTTTAACATTGCTACTTCACAGTTAGTTGTCCAATGTTTCCCCATCGAAAAATAAACATCAATTAATACACAAGGCCTTGCATCCAGATACTAACATAAATCTGCATGTACTGAATCATTAAAGAGAAAAATGATCCTACTGGCCTACAGACCTCTTACTTAAAAATTGTTCTTATCTCAGAATGAAAAAAGAAAATGACACTTTCAAATATCCCAGATTTCCAAGATCCCCAAACCCATATTCAGCACGAATGGGGTAAGGAAAATGATTTTATTAGAGTCTAGGCTGGGAAAAAAAAACAAAAAAACATAGGACCCTCCACTACTCTCAGTATCCCAGCCCTATATTGTAAGCTGCATCATCTAAAACAAAAAAACCCTCTCTGTCTCCTCAGAGACGGGTCTGTGCATCCTCTTCATTTGCTGGAAATCTCATTAATATTAATAAATGTGGTGGGATTTAGTATCTGTTTACTCTGCCAACTTTCATCTGTCAGCAAAGTCACCCATCTGCAATCATGAAAATCAAAGTAGTGAATGAATCATGGTGACATTGTTGGTTCACTGACAGCTCGGGGGACTTGAATAAAGAAAAGTTGGATATGATAACCTGCACTGTAAACCGCAAAATGACACCAAACAAGCTGCTTTCAGCACATTGACATACGTGTCTCCATCTTCATCCTGATGTTTGGCCAAAGAGATTCCTGCCAGCAGGTTGTCGGTCTGGTGGACTTGTGGGTGGTGTGGCTCTGGAAAGGGGGTTAGGCAGCACACTGGGTAGTGACCTGATCAGAACAACAGAAATAAGAGAGAAAGAACCCATAAAAGAAAAGTAGGCATATGATAAGGGACTCTGACAAGTAAAAAATAACTGATGGTAAAGTAGATGAGTCTGTTTTTTTTTTGTTTTTTTTGTTTTTTTTGTAGAAAGGAAACTCATCTGCAGTAGGGGAGTGTATACTCAGCTATGATCTAACCGAGAAAGGGGATGCTCTTCTGTCAGTTGACGAAGATGAATGGCTGCAGAGAAGCTGACTGGACACTTTCTCAGTATAAGTCACTGTGTTAACTACGACTCCAGTGATGTTATCAATGACCTTCTTGTAGACAACTGCAAAGTGTGCCAAGTATAAACAAACCTTGCATTTGCTTTTGCAGAGCAATACTATAAAAGCCCTTGAATCCTGTCCTGCTGACCTCCATCACACCCTGAATAGACGACTAGATGTTTGCTCTGTTCCGACAATCGTCATCAATCAAATGTTTACATAATGAATATTGTGTTTAATTTTTTTGAATTAAATCCATGCACATTGCAATTTTTTGGACAGAACTCACAAAAGAAAAAACATATTTGTCCATGTTTGCTTGTTAACAAAACACACAATTCCAAACCTTTTTCTTGAAACTTCTGTAATAAACTGCTTAGCTATAATAATAAATCTGAATTAAAATGATGTCCAGGGCCTTCCCTGCTAACCGGTAAGAAGGATGCCACTCTGGTAGAGAGTTATGAGCTCCATCCATCTTTCTGGTCAGCTTATCTGTTACTTTGCAGCGTTTTCCTCACATAGTTTTGAATGAGCAAGTTTTTCTTAACTTCTGTGTTTTTCGAGTTCCCTACAGGCTTGTAGGGAGAAAAACTAAACAGGACATACCCACTTTAGACACTGATGTGGAGACAGAGAGGATGGACCTGAATACTATTTGGAAATATAACAGCATAGTTGTTTGGGGGGGGGGACTCCATCATTAGTGTTAACTTGGGTGAAATTAGGTTGTTTGCACTGGAAAAATGATCAGGAAATAAGTAAACATTTCTTAGATTAAGTGTATTTACCCTTAATTTAAGTGGGTAAATTACAGTTTATCCAATGGAATGAGTATTTTTGCTCTTAAAATAAAATAATTAGATAAAATGCACTTAAAAGCAATGGTGTTTTCTTATTTTAAGCGTAAATTGTCTTGTTCCATTTCCAAAATGTCTCATTTATCTCATCAATCCAAGAACAAATGCGCTTATTTTAAGAAAAAATGACTTATCTAGATTTTGATTTTTTCCAGTATGGTCATTATTTTCTCAGTAATGTTAATTTCACAGAAATTACGTTAAAAAAACATTTATTAGACATACTTATAGCATAGCAGTTCAGGTTAAATTGGTGTAAAGAAAAATATGCTACAGAGCAAATGGGAGATATAGAAAGAAGCGCTTACCGTAATTAATAAGTGGTAAAATGCAGCAGGGATAGCCTTCCGGACTGTGAGCTGCCTGATCGGTCCGCCTGTGGGTCACCGGCGCAACCCCGAACCTGGTTTCATCCTCAGCTTTCCCCAAGCGAGGACGCGCGGGCTCCCGGACTGTCTGCTCCTCTGCAGCTGCAGCCGGTGGAGCCGGCTTCTGCGCCTCCGCTTCGACAAGAAAATGCCGTTTCCTAAAAGGAAGAGTCGACGGACTCTTTATGGGAGATCCGTCCGCTGTCCTTTTGCGGGAATGGGTGCTGTCCGTGTCCGGGGAGCGGTGCAACACTGAACTGTCCGTCCCGGTGCTCGCGGGAGGCGCAGGTGAGCCGCCGCTCGCCCGCGCGTCTCCGTCGCAGAAGGTTAGGTCTCCCCCGCTCCTGCGCCCTCGACCTGTGGTGCTCAGATCCAGCGGCGCTGTAGCAACCGACTGGTGGTCAACGCTCATTGTCATAGGACTCGGCATCAACTGAAGCAGGTTCAGGTGACAGCGCAACTGTTTTTTTCAATCCCAGAGACAAATAGTTTGTATCAAACAAAATCTATTGAGAAACTCCAACATCTAAAGGGTGGGAAAACGAGCAGCGGTCAAATCAAACCATTGCCTTGTTTCCCCTTTTTTGTCTTTGTTTGGATAAGCGCTCAAATGTTCAGACTCATGCAAATATACCCGAAGGAAAACCCAGGAGAACTTAAACATCTGTGAGTCCCTGCGCACCTTTCTGAGCATGCCTCAGAGGAGCTGCTCCTCTACTCTTAATGAACGTCTGCTTTACGCTGTAGGCCTACTTTCGCTTTAAAACGAAACAATAAACCCTAAGCTCTAACTTACACCGAGCTGGGCAGGAAAGGAGTTAAACGCTGCGCTGAATTCGGGGTATTTTTTTGCATATACGACTTCTTTGATTATCTGTTTTTTTTTTTTTTTTCAGACGGTTTCAAAACGTTTCTCAAGAATTCAATGCAGGCTTGTCTGTCTTCTTGTGCATACAGGTGAAGACATGGGGGGTGGGAAGTGCAGATTAAATGAGACACTTCTTGGTCAAGATTTGTCTTTAAGACTACCTCTATTACATATTTATTTTTGCCTTTTATTGTGTGTGTATGGGTTTTGTAAACATTTAAATGAAATCTGAATTAAAATAGACACCTAATTGTGTTTCCTAACATAGTATAGCCCCCCCTACACACTTTTTCCAGCTTTTTTTGTCATTACACTGTCACAAGTTCAGAACAATGAAATTCACTCTCTGCAATTAACCCATCCCCTTGGGGAGCAATGGGCTGCCAATGTGTGGCACCCGGGGAGCAGTTTGGGTTTAAGGATCTTGCTCAGGAACCCAGAGTGGAGGCTGTGGGGATTGAACCAGGCACTTGCAACCTTCTTAGAGCACAAGCGCACTACTCTAACCGCTTGGCCAAAACTCCCTTAAACATTTTTTAAGGGTCAGTTGGCAGCAGCAGAGCCTAATACAACTCATTCCATTTAGAAAATTAAGCATATTTGTGGTTTTTATATTGAAAAGTAAAAAAAAAAAAAAAAAGACATTTTGAGCATAACTTCTTAGTTGGAAATTACCAGACCCCGAACTTTCACAAGGATGTATTTCCACAAGAATGGCTTTCGGTAAAATGCAAACTTCCTTTCAGAAATGTTCATGTGCTTCATGCTGCCATTAACAGATTTTTGAACATTTTTGATTTACATCATGTTTTTTTTTTTTTTTTTGTTTTTTCTTTCTTTTTTTTTTTTTTGGTTCGTTATGTCGATAATAACCCACTTCCACTTCTGAACTGAACTGATCTGATCTGATTTCTGTGAAACACAGACAATACTTCCCTGGCCGTTATGCATTACTACTGATCACATCTGCAGAATATGTAGAAAGTATGTTGAGCTTCATTGTTTATTACTAGGCCTGCTGCAGCATTCTCATTTCGCTAATGTTTCATATAAGTTTTTTTTTTGTTTTGTTTTTTACTCTCTAAGACTTCTGTCCATGCTACTACAAATTAAAAATCTGATCTTACATTTCTATATTTTATGTTGCTGGGGGAATATCACCAGCCTGCACACTATGAGACGAGCTCAAGAAACCACCAAAATATGAGGAGGAGGGCAGAAGGTGCCCTATATCAATGACTCGTCAGAGTTGGTCCTGCTCCAACTTCACTACCAAGCACAGAGAGTGTTTTTTCTCCTTGTCTTTAATTCTGTTTTACTCCACCCTTAGCAAGGTTCTCATTACCTGGGTCAATTTGGGACTTTCCTCTTCTCACTGAAGTGTGGAGTGGGCAACGGAAAGTCAAGGTCGGAGTCTAAAGTCCCTAAAACACCCTGACACCACATCAACGAACCCTGCAGCTGTCGAGGCACTCAACCATTGGTTAAGTCTGGAGTAGGGTGTCATTATTTTTTCAAATAAAGCACAATGGCTTTCACATTAACAGTCTTCTTACTCTTGAAAATACACCTCATATTATGGTGCACAATATTAGAATGCATACATCATAATACAACCTGACTAAATTTAAACCCATTGATCTTTGCATTCACATTGACTGCCAACAGAAAATATAATATTGTTTCTTTATTATGGAGAGGTTAAATATTCAGCTGACTGATCTCTCAGAAAATCACAGGGAAACATATGAAAATACCCAGAAGAAATACCGCCCTCTTGTGATAGAATTACAAAGGTGCAACCCAGCTCTCAAACTACAGCGAGATTAAATACTTTGTCATTAGATATATGGATAAAACGTTGGACTTTGCTCCCACATGTTGCTGAGTGGTATTGATTTGTATTTACAGTGGCTGTTGATTTGCCTCTTGATATGGAGGAGATGCAACTCCACTAATAGCCTCTCCTGGGCGGCCAAGCTCCTTACTTTATCTTTAAAGGAGTGCCCTACCCCAGTGCTGAGGAAGCCTGTGTCTCCACTACCATCCTAGGTAATTTTTATGACCATAGGTGGACCACGTGCTAATTTTTTTTTTTTAAGTTGAATATTTTGTTAATAAAATATCTTGATGAAAAACACTAATTAGTGACCTATCAGTGTATCACACAAAGTATTCATGTATTTAAATTGATAAAATGATTATTCTAAAACAGATATTTAAAATGTAATCTATCAGTCTGTTATCTGCCTTGCAAAAGTAACCATTAAGTGAAAGGAAGAGGTAAATGATTTTAAAAGGTTTTTACAAATGAACATCTTAAAAGAGCAGTGAGCATTTTTTTTTTTGTTATGTCATGATCACTACTGTGATAGCTGACCTAACTGTTCATTTAACTCACCCTCCTAACCCTCCCGGGTTACTAATCGTCACTCATTATATCCACCTGCTCCCGATGTTTTATCTCAGCTCAGCCCAGCTATCGGGGCCAGATTATTAAGTAGGCTTTGTTTGTATGTTTTAATTTTATTTGGAGATCATAGCTGTTTTCTATAGTTCATGTTTTTATTCTTAGAGGCCAGTGGTTAAGGAGAGTTTTGGTCTTGTCTTAGTTTTTCCTGATCATGTCCTGGCTCTTATCCACTGAGCGTACCTTGTTCCTGTTTTTGGCTCAGTGGAGGGAGCTAGTTTAAAGTTATGTAATTTTCCAGGTATCATGTCTTGTTCTGCCTCTCAACTACTGGGCCTGCCTGTTTCCATTTGAGCATTTCTGCCTGAACTCGGTGTTGGATTCCTGGAACCCTGGATCTGTCTGTTCCTGTTCTGATTGAAACCCCTGGCCGGGTTGTGGACTTGATCTCTGAGCCATACTGTTCTAAACTGTTTACCTGACCTGGCTTGGATCAATGATCAATGATTGGCAGTCCACTGACTGGATCCTGCCTCACTCGAGAGGATGGAGTGAACTGTTAAATCAGGTAAGTGACTCACATGGATAATCATCTTCCATCAGATTATCGTGGTCACTTACCAGTGTGTCAGTGATGGGCGGTGCCCCGCCTCCCCCAGCAGATCTGCAGATCCACAGCTCTGCGTTCTCTGTTGTTTTTTTAATAAAAGTCTTGAACTTTCCCACTGTCTGCCTCGCCTCGAATTCTGGATCCTACAATCTGAGCTTATCACAAGTTACCCTTCCTTAGAGCATGCCTTCTATGAACCTCGTTTGGAGCATTTATAGTTTCCAGTTTAGGTGTTTTCCCCTTCCTGATTTTTTATTTTATTTGCATGTTTGTCACACTTAAGCAGAGGTAAAAGTAGAATTAAATAGTCACTGGTACTGTTAAGAAAAATAAATGGCTTAGGTACAACAGTAATTTTAAAGGACTATACTTTTGTATATAGACCAATATAATCAATGTATAACACCTGTACTACACTTTTGGATTTTATATTTAGTCTTTAGCTTCTCCAGTTTACTTGTTGAAGAACAAGAATACATATAAAAAAATAAGATAAAATAAAGAAATTAATAAATATATATATATATTTGGGACTGACTAGTATTTGATGAATTCAAAATATGATGTCTAGCTTTCCCTCTTTTCCATGTGTTTTTGAAATATTTTACTATAAATGCCCTGTCACTATTTATTAACACAGGTAGTGTAGTCGATGGAAAAGATTTGTGGCAATAAACATTACCAGGAATGAAAATTTCTTTAGCTAATCTGTAACTCAAACTGATGCCTGAACTCGGGTGAAAAAGATCTATGACCTAGATAATATAATAATATGATGAACCATCTCTGAACTCATGGTTATAGTTTAACTTTATAGTTTAATGACATTTATTTCTAGTTTCTGAAACACTTTATATAGACTTGATAATAGAAACTCCACAAAGAACCTCTACTCCTCTGTCTAATAATGCCATTACAATTAAGAACATTTAAGAATAAAACATCAAAAAATTAAACTTGAGCATTTTAGAAAATTAAGCAAATTTGAATAGGTAATGTAATGCAATGGCAGTTTATTTTTGTGTTGTAGATGAAGCTAAAACCCCATCCATCCATCCATCCATCCATCCATCCATCCATCCATCCATCCATCCATCCATCCATCCATCCATCCATCCATCCATCCATCCTGTCAGGATGGGCTTTAGGGATCTGACCCACATGCAGAAACACACTCAGAAGCCGAGGAAAAAAGTGAACAGGTTTTAGTGATTTACAAAAACACAGACTGAGGGATATACAGCTGGGTAACACTGTTGGACCTCAGCTGATTGGTGAACCGGAACCGGAAACTCTGAAGGGGAGATCACAATGATCAGTTCAGGGACCGTAGGAAAAATGACTGAGGCTTGTAATTTGCAGGAGAGGCACTCACGTTTGGTGAACTCTTGGTTAATCTTTGGATCCAGTTTGAGGGGTCTTATCCAGAGATGAAAGAACTCGTTGGAGGGTGGACAGGCAGACTAACATTGGGTCCAGAGGAGCAATGGAGTGGACTGTCACCGGGTTTTCCTGAAGGACTTGAACGGATCATATGGAGATTTCCCCTTGCTCAATTGTGCCTCAGTTTATCCTTCCAGGGGGATAGAAGGTCCAAGCTTATCCAGTGGATCAGGAAGGCTTCCTGCCTGAGAACAAAGACAAAGCAAGCTTAGACTAAGAAAGACAAGGCAAAATACTGGCAAACACTCTGGCGTCTAGGTAGTGACAGTCCGCTGCTCAAATACTCCTCTGGTGATGACCCAACGAGCCGCAGGTGTGCGAGGAGGCCCAAACGAAGACAGGGCACCATCTAGTGGTGGAAGAAAGAAAACACAAAAATAACCCACACAAACTGGATTCCTAACACATCCATCCATCCATCCATCCATCCATCCATCCATCCATCCATCCATCCATCCATCCATCCANTCCATCCATCCATCCATCCATCCATCCATCCATCCATCCATCCATCCATCCATCCATCCATCCATCCATCCATCCATCCATCCATCTTCACCCACTTAGCTAAAGGTCAACAGAGCAGACATATTCAGGTAAAACCAAAAGATTCTGCTTTTATTTAACCATTCACCTTCCAAACATGAGAGTTTCAAATATAATTTTGATTCAGGCATATCAGGATGTCAGGTCATGGACTACTTTATCTTGCCCTCTTCATCACATTGCAAAAAGTTTGTGAAAATACTAATTAGTCACAA